ATGGTTTTTTTTTTCCTGCTACAGAAGTATTAATATTTCAAAATTACAAATACAAAACAAAAAACCAAGTTAACCAACACATTCATAACTGCTAATATATTCAGAACTTTTAATTCATTCTTCTATGTGACTTTTGGAATTGAAGTGAATACATTCAGAATTGTTAATAACCTAATACATTAAGAATTATATATTCAACGATAAACATTTAGACACAATTTAGAAAATCAATAAATCACTAAAAAATAAGAATCATCTAATAAATTGATAAGACGTAAGAGAATTAAGAGTGGATTATATATATATATATATATATATAACTAAAGTGTTCATCATCACTAAAGTCAAGATCTCCTTAATCCCGAGGAGTATCCCCTAAGTGCCTCTTCAGCGTAGTCTTCATCATCACTAAAGTCTTCCTCGTAGGCTTGGCTACCTACGTGGCGAAATGGGTTGCGATCCCAAACAGGACAAACGCGATCTTTAACGACATCACATAACCTGTTATTATTTGTAATGACCAGGTCATTTTCCTTCCTTTCCATTTTCTCAAATTTTACGGATATTTTTTTTTTCGTTGATTTTCCCTTTCTGAGTTCTTTTTTCTTTTTTTTTTTTTTCCTGTCATTTTTCACTATCTTTTCATTTTGCGTAACCTATCGAGTCACGCTCGGATTTGATTCTAGCCTTACATACATTCATTATACTTGATTTCCATGTGTTTCACATTTATACTTTTATAGAAAAACATGCTAGATGTTTACTTTTACCCGTAGGGGCGTAAATGCAAAGATTCTTAAAAATTATTTTCTTTACTTGGGATGTTTTTTTATAATTATCTTTTAATGATATTTTGTATTTAGGGTATTTATAAATTTATCTTTTGAATGACATTTCATTTTGGGCTTTTTGGGAAATTCACTTTTTGAGTTATCTAGTGGGGGGTCTTTATGTAATTATTGAAAGTTTTTGGAAAAATTTCTCGTTTTGGGCTCAAATCTTCATGAGGGGTTCCTTTTCATTTTTATTGACTTTGGCACTTCCGGATAATTTTTTGGATTTTTATTTCATTTATTTTGGAATTTCTTTTCCCGTTAGTTGTCAATCTTGTACGGGGCATATCCTTTAGTTCGGGACTCAGTTTTCTACCCCGTTTCTTTCGTTGATCTTAGAATTCTATTTTAAAACTTTTTCATTCACAGACTTTATTCATTTAAGCACGTATTGATAGTTTTCACTTTTTGGACCCGGGCGGAGCTCGTTCGGACTGTTTGGGACACTTTTTTGACCTATTTTAAAAAGGTAGAGGAGAGAGAAAGTCACTTTTTACATTTCTTCTTCCCCACACTAGCTCCCAGCCGCCATTAGAGACCATGGGGCTGCCTCTCTCTCTCTCTGCTCTTTTGACCATCTTCTTCTATGATTCTCCTCTCACCGATGAAGACTTTCTTGATGGCCTCGACGACGCAGTGATTTCTATCCGTTCGAATTTTGATTTTGAGCACTTTGAGTTTTGGGGTGTTGGTTCAAGCTTGGATTCGGGTGCTGTCACAAGAGGATTTCTTGGTCTCCTCGTTGTCCCCGTCATAACCCTGAAGTTTCATCGCATTCGGAGTAGTTTGATTTTGGTGTGATTTGAGGTTTTCACCTCAAAGTGAGGTAGGGGGTGTTTCATGTTTATAATCTTAGTGTATTACATGTTTTTGAGGTTTATATAACTTGTATACATGTTTATAGTTTGGATTTAGAAATGGGTTTAGTTTTAATTAAATGATGATTTAATTTCATGGTTGTAGCATGCTTAGATTAGACTAGAAATATGATATTAAATTAGCCCATCACTTGTTGTTCAACATATATTAATTTTGGAATTTTTGGATGAGTTTTGAAATCTAGAGATTTTAATTAGTAAATTAATTAAAAATTAATTAATTTTTTAGTAGCTTAATTAGAGTTTTGATTTGATATATGTGATACTCATGGTATATTTCTTGATATATATTAATTTATGTCATTTGAAGCTATTTTGTAATATAGAGAAATTAATTAATCTTGTTTAATTAATTTCTATTTAATTGTTCTATGGTTTAGTTATGTCTTTGATGTTGTTCTATGGTTATAATATTGCATGCCATGGTAGTTCAGGACCTAGCTAGAGCATGTCTTGTGTGTTTCCAAAACTTGGTTGTGCATGGTACTTGGTTAAGTGCATTTGGTATACATGTATATACGTTATTGCACAACTTGTTGATTTTGGAAACTTGGGGATGTCATAAGATAGACTATGGCTAGGGCTCGGCTCTAATACGGGGGATTTGAGAGCCCGCTATTTTATAGTGCGCACTTAGAGGAAGGTACCCACGGGTTAGTAACCCAAAAGTGGCCTTATGTGTCCGGTTCTATTTTGGCGTGGCGTCCAAGTATCCGTTTGGTTGATTTCACATTTTAAATTCCAAGTTAATTACTTTGCGAATTTATACCTTAATGCCTTGTATTGGATGTTTTAATACTAATTAAGTTGTATAATTATTGGATGTAGCTTAGGATAATCCTATAGTCTCACTTTGAACATAGAAGTTAGGTGGTATAACCTACATAGATTGATTTATATCAACTCGTAAAAGCTTGTAAAACTTTAGGTTATACGCATGTTCATTTCCTACGAGTAACTTGTTTACTCACTCTCGTTATTTGGGATATTTTTCAGGTAAAGAATCATGTTTTAGGCATACACAACATCCTTGCCTTGTAGCTTGATAAGTTTGGCACATTTCATTTCAACATCCTTGCCTTGTAGCTTGATAAGTTTGGCACATTTCATTTCATGCATTTGTTAGCATGATTTCGATTTATTTCGGTTAATTATGTTAAAACTTGTAAATTCTATTTGGGATATGTATTAAGTACCAAAATGAATCCTTTGAGACCTATTTGACTTGTATGTAATGTGGCCAAGGGTCAAAAACCTCATGCTTTACTTTTATATTATTTGACTATATGCTTAAATATGAGAAAAATAGGAAAATGCGAGGTTTTATCATGTCATTTTCAATTCAGGTTGTGTAAAGTGTGCTTTAGCACTCTTTAGTGTTCTTTTAATATATGTGACGTGTGGCCAAGGGCCAAACGGTCTTTTGAATGCATCTATGGTGATTAGTTTCAAATATTGCTTTAAAACGTCATTTTTCAAGCTTTATGGGCTTAAACATGTCATGTTTTGCTTTGGGAGTATTTTGAAGTCGTGGGCCGTTGTAACGCATTTAAATATGTATATTACGTTTGCAAGAATGCTCACTTTACACAACATATCACGGTTGCATAATATGGATGTTGTAGGCTCCAAGATTTCCATTTAAAGCCTATTTTCTTGCATTTTTGAGCTTAATAGGTTGAATTTTGCATCGGGCATATTTGGGGGTCACAGACCATTCCCCCACACTTTAAAACACTTATTACGTTTGTGTGCACAATCGTTTTAGCACACAACTTCATATGGTTATTTGAACATTTGAAGCAAACTTGCATTTTTTAATTTTTTGTCAAAATTGATCATAAGGGTATTTTGGGGATTTCACGTCAAAAATAATTTTTTTCTTTCAACATGGTCAGGCAAGAAAAATTATTTCAAGAGGAGTTTCTTCTTTGGGTTTCTCCAAAAAAAAGGTCGTTTCGGGGTCTAAAACGACATACTGTTTTTAGTTTTTTTTTTTTTTTTTTTTTTTTTTTCAAAATACCTGCTGTTAGCACTTTCTGTGCCCGCGTGCATAGCGTGCGGCACGCATCATGCGTGCGCGGCTAAAACTTGGATATTTTCATAAATTACATTTTGCCTCTAGGGCTAAAACCTGTCTATTTTTAAAACGTTGTTTCCGCACTTTATCTCTTTGAGTTCCGTGACTTCATGGGGAGTCACACTTGTATCTTAGGGATGATATACATCTTCCGAGACCTTGTTTATGCATGAAAAGACTTTTTTGACCTTGGGGGCATACTTGGTCTATTTTCACTCTTTTGCTTTCGCATTTATTTTCTTTTAGTTCCGTGACTCATGGAAAGTCACCTAGGCTTCTACAGGAATGCTATATGTTCCTGGAGACTTTGTTTTTGTTTCTGCTTCGCATTCCGAATCCGTTACGGGTCATCTTTCGGGCCACATTAAGGCATCCGGGTTTGTAAAACCAGGGCCGTCACATTATCATGATTCTAATTCGGATTCAATGTGAGCCTAGAAAGGGTTGGTTGTATATCTTATAACGTTTGTTGGGTTGTCTATTCGAAGTCTTGAAATTCGGCCCTCGAAAGAGCCTCTCCTTGTCAATCATCATCACCAGCGAGGTTTCCCTCACCACGATCATCTACCATCAGATCAGAAAAAGACAAGGCTTTGATACCGATTAGCGTAAGCAGAAGTTATGATTGTTCACAAGGAATAATAAATAAACAATTTTGAATCCATAAAGTTAAGAGATAAATTCACAGAGAAAATTTGATATTATATTGTTCATTGAATAGATCATTCTACTCTATGCATTATATGTATTTAATGAAAGAAAACTAAACTAGTTGCAACAGAAACTTTATAACACTTAGAAACCTAATCTTAAAAAGAAGCTAATATTAAAAAATAAGCCTAAAAATAAAGTTTATCTAAAAATTCTGAAAAAAAAACAAAGAAGAAACAAGAAACCTAATAAATAAGCAATGAACAAAAATTACGAAATAATCAACAGGCCTCCTATACGATAAAAAATTTCCGTTTCAAGACTCTAAATGATGAAATTTGACTGAAAAACGAACATACCTTTTTCACTCTAACTCTTGAAATATTATTATTTTTATTTTTTTTGGGTAAGGATTTCCTCGAACAAGATATGTTGCATTCAGGTAGTGGAAACTTGTGGATAGAAATTGACCTACCCAAACAAAGGTTAAAGTTAATTTGTGGAGAGATTCCCGCAGTTGACCCATGTGGCTATGCTTGACCAAGTGCTATAATTACCCAATTAATATATATACAGATATGTATGTTTATATATAGCCAAACTGTTTGGCCAATTAATACGTACAACTCTTGTATTAATCGAGTTGTATTGTATTAGAGGGAGGGAGGTGGTGGTGGTGTCCTCTATATTACATATCGGAGTCCCATAAATTATATGGACAAAATGTTGGGTATTCTAAAAGTTCGCGTTCGCCGAGGCATCAATCTTGCCGTTCGTGACTTCGATACCAGTGATCCTTATGTTGTCATCACCATGGCTGAACAGGCATGCATATATGCCAAAATATATATATATATATATACATGCTCTCTATAGTTGCACTCACATAATTAATCTTCATTTATGGGCATTTGAATTTTTATTTGGTGATGGTGATGATTGATTATTACCCCTGCAGCCAGTTAGTTTTTGTTGATGATTTTCCAATTATAACAAGCTTTGATTTGATGGGTATGAATTGATTGGATTATAACACAACTGTTTTTTCTTTTTTCCTTTTAATTTCTTTTTCTGGTTTGAAGATTATGATTAATTATGAGTTTGGATGTTAATATTATTTATTGTCATTTATTTATTATTATTATTTTCCCAACTGCTTAATTTCTTGATGGAAATGAATTTGTTGGAGTTAATGACATTTTCTTTTTATTTGTTTTTTCCTGGTCAGCAATTTCAGCGCCTTTTTTATTTATTTATTTATTTTTTTTTTTTATGTCACTTCATAGTTCATATCTTGATAATTTATAATATTGATTTTGCTATACTATATATATGAATACAAAATACTATATATGAATAAATTATATGGGTTACTTTAATATTATATTAATATCGATATCTTTATTCATATCCTTTTGAGTATGATTATATTAGGCTTTATACATACATATATATATATGTGTGTATTATTTATGTATATCATAATTGACTTGTATTTGTTGATCATGATGATTAATTTGCTTTTGCAGATTATATCTTGTTTGATGCGCTAACTAGTTGTGTTGATGGAAATGAAATAGTTGGATTCAATAACAAATTTTTTTTTTTATATATATTTTTTGCTGTCTGGAAAATTATTTTTATGATTCTTACATTATTTCATATTTTAATCTGCTTTATACATGTCTTTTATTTGGTGATCCTCATGATTGATCAGGATTGATTTGCCTTTGCAGTTGCAGCTATTATTTTGTTTGATGCTTTTTCTAACCGGTTTTATGTCCTAAAAAATGAATTGGTTGGATTAAATAACTATTTCTTTTTTTTTTTTATTCCTTTTTTCTTTTGTTGGTCACAAAGTTTTGCCTATATTTTGATGTTTTATATTGTAATCTGCTTCATACGTGCATCTAGACATGATAATTATGTATATTATAATTATTTTTAGGCCGATGAAAAATGCAGAAATTGAGCCCCTTAGAAGTTTACATTCGCTGGATGCATTAATGTGGGACTCACTAGGATTGATTGATCGTCCCTTATAGGATAATTCTTATGTATATCATATGTGACTTTTACTTGGTGAATCAAATTAAAATTCACTTGCAATGATCAATTTATATATATATATTTTCATAAATGAATTTAATATATATTTTTAAAATAATAAAATCAAAGCTTGAGTGTCATAGACAGAGAGACCAAGCTAATACTATTAAGGACTTGAACACGAAGTATGTAAATTTCTATTGTTTGTTCGTTGTGATAAGAACATAATATCAAAAGGGCATGGTAATATACTACTCTTTTTGCAATTATACAGAAAACACAGAGAAGTCCGTTGAACTAATTTTTTTTTTTTAATTTCACCAATTCCAATATTAAAGTTTGAATTCCAAACAATCGAATGGCAGACTAAAACTAGACTCCTCCAAAAGGACCTTATCATGATGTAATTCCAATTCAGACTTCGATTAAAAGAGTATGAAGTAGAGTGTTGCTCTTTTGAAGCTTTAGAAGGGTGTCACTGTTCCTTTATAGCCACAACTCATCCACGCACTTTTTTCCGCTACATTTTTGGCCTTAGGACAGTTTTACTCAGAATATCGCGCTAGATAAAATTTTGTATATCATCTCCTCCTAGCACCTGTATACAAAGTTAGTTTGTGTTGTCTGTAAGATGACTCGGGTTTTTGGCGTTCGTAGTGATTTAACACTTTTTTTTTTTTTTTTGTTTGATTGATGCATTCATCAATATGGTAATGAAACTGGCATACATTTCTGTAGTGGTTTGAACTTCTATCTTGTTTACACAACTTGTGTATAGTTGATAACAGAGTTATTTTTAGTAGATTCTTCTATTTCAGTTACTTGAAACAAAGTATATAATTACTGATGTTATTCCTTTGATATTATATACTTATGCGGATGCAGAGACTAAAGAGTAAAGTAGTGAAGAAAAATTGCAATCCGCAGTGGAATGAAGAGCTAACTCTTTCTATTAAGGATCCAAATGTTCCAATCAAGCTGGTGAGTGGATTTTAGCGAGTATTCATTTTCTTTCTTATTTCTTCTTTACAAATGTTATAACATTATAAAGCATGCCTGAGTATTTCATATCATCTGCATTTCTTCATGGATTTTGTTTGGTCAAGAAAGACAAAAATTGCAGCAACCATATTTTGGTAGATTGTCCGGTGATTTTTTTCTTTTCTTTTTTTTTTTTTTTTCATAAAATTGGAAGTTAGAATCAAACGAGCCTTTACCCTTTTTTGTTCCACACGATATTTTTGTTAGGCAGATTGTCAATTACCCCCATTGGGTTTTCGTTCTACTTTTCAGACAGTGTATGACAAAGACACATTCACTGGAGATGACAAAATGGGTGAAGCGATGATAGAAATCAAACCATATCTAGAGAGTTTGGATATGGGCTTGAATTTGGAAGACCTTCCACCGGGTACTAAACTCGATAGAGTTCAGCCAAGCAAGAACAACTGCCTATCCGAGGAGAGCTGCATTGTTTGGGACAATGGTAAAGTTGTGCAAGACATGCGCCTGAAACTGAAAAACGTAGAACGTGGGGAAGTGGTTGTCCAAATTGAGTTTATTGACCATTTAGGCCGTAGCGGTTTCAGAAGTTGAGGTATGCTCTGTATCTGTTTGCTTGCTTGCTGTGTGTTGTAACTTGTGAGGAGGTATCCTAGATTGGTTTCAGACACTCTATGTAATGAATGTTTGTATGTTGTAATAAACATCTTGGAGTGAGTGATAAATATTGGTATTGATTGTCTTATACAAGAGGCTGATCTTTAGCTAAGTTGATGCTTATGTGTTGGTTTTGTACGAACCTCTATGATATATTCAGTAACAAAATGATGATTCTTATACATCTAGCATAGTTCCACAATACTTGAAAGGATAAAATACACTAATCTCCCCTAACATTTATGCTATGTTTGGCGGCACTGAATCGGCGCCTTGGATTTGGAATCGGAGGAAATTTAGTTCAAAATTTATACTAAATTTTCTCTAATCCTAAACCCAATGCACCGATTTGGTGCTCCTAAACATAACATTAGTGAAATTAACGCAATAAAAACTTTAGCAAATCAAAACTTCCTTCACCAAAAGGCAAGGTAACTTTCTTCTAACTGAGTTGAGCCATCTTTCTAGCTTCTAGAGATAAGTTTAAAGAATTCCAACAGCTCAATTTTGACACACACTTTATCAGTTAGAGGTCTAAAATTAGAAACCTTGAGATTCTTATCCGATAAGGGGACACCTAATAAAGGATAGGGAATTCAGCCACTCTGAAGTCCATAATTTGAGAGATACTTCTTCTTCTGACAGACTTTGAGAACATGATAGAGCTCTTGTTAATATTGACTTTCAAACCAGTAGAAGATTAAAAAAAGTTTAAAACATCAGCTTTCACCACAATAAACAAATCATCTTCATAAAAGACATGGGATAACTTCAAATCACAATATTTGACACATTTAAAACACCTTCATTAATCTACTGTTGGCTAGAATGGAGAAGAATTCAGTAACTAAGGAAAACAACGAAGACCAACATGCCAGTGGCCTAATGGTGTCAAATCTTTACTTTTCAAAAGGGGTTAGAAGTTCAAGTCTCAGAGGCATGCGTATGTGAGTGTCAACTAAATAAAATAAAATAAATAAATAAAAAGGAAAGCAACAAAGGAGACAAAGGCCATCCTTGTTTGATCCCCCTAGAAGAAGAAGCAAAGAATTGAGCATGTGTGCCATTAAACAGAATATAAAACCTTGGAAAAGACATATATTCCATCACCTACTGAGACCACATGGTACCAAAGCCATAAGACTGAAGCATGCTATTAAGAAAGCCCCAATCTACAAAGTCATAAGCCTTTTGCAAGTTAACCTTGAGAGCCCTAGAAGGAGCACCTCTTTTCAAACCAAAACCTTTGATGAGGTCAGAGATCAAATTATATTGTCAGGAATTTTCCTATTGTTTTTTAAAGACTGATAGAGAAATCAATTTGGATTTTCCACAAAAATAATCTTCCTAAGGCTTTTTACGAATAATGAAGTTGTAGAACAAAAGTCGTACTAAACCTAGATGACTATCAGGATTTATATAGAATTTTCAAAGACCTAAGCCTTCATAAAATAAAGGAAATTTCATGCATAGGACTTTCGGTATAATTCTAAACCAACTACGAAAGAAATCAGGATCTGATTCAAAAGTTACCTAAACTATAGAAGACACTTGAACCGGTTCAAGAATGGCAGTGAAAATTTGAAGCCAAAGTTAAAGGTCTTGAACCAGTTCCAAAAAGCTGGAACCGGTTCAAGTTTGTCAGACTTGAAACCTATGGTTCTAAAGGTTTGAAAACACTGTTTTGGTAATATCTAGAAATATACCAAGTATGGAACGTGTCCTAACCTTTTTAGATTTCTTCATAAAGTATTGTTCTTTCCTTTCTTGATGATCTCAGTATACCATCTTTGAACAACCTTCCAATTCCGCAGCCGTTCTCGATCTTGATATGGTAACTTGAAATTACAACTCGATCGAACTTGTTTTAACACCGAAATTTGCCAATTACAGAATTTATATCTCACAATCTCCCTCTTTGGCAATTTCGTGACAAAATCCTAAAAACAATGAAATAATCTACCAAGCAGAAAAGTAAATTACAATTTTGTTCAAACGACAACACGGAATTTCAAAAATTTCTTCTTTGTTCTCTTCTCTTCTTGGATAAACGATTTGACCTAATTTCCTACACAATATCAAGCAAAACTACAAGTGAAGTTTAATAATTTTTATTTTTATTTTTATTTTTAAAACTCCCCCTTAAGTAAATATCAAATAATCTCCCCCATAAGATAATATTGTTCTCCCCTTTTTTGAAACAAATTGACAAAGATTATAATGTCAGAGTAGAGAAAATAAAGAAAAACAGATTAAATCTGTTAAACATGTCATTCAGTCAAAATATAATATCCAAAAATAATGACTATGTTAACAAAAGTATGAAGTCTCCAACAATAATGTCAGAAGGACATCAATAATCTCCACCATCATCCTCATTAACATAGGAGTGGAAGATGTGTCGGTTCTTGCTCTCTTGGGGTTCTCGGATGACTATGTCGGTTCTTGCTCTCTTGGGAGGCTTTGGAATTGTAACTCCTTTGCCTTTAGCTTCTTTAGAGATTTTCAGAGCCATTTAATTCACAAATTTTTTTGATTTTAAGCTTTGAAACTTTTTCGGGAATTTTGTTAAACACTTGGTGTGAAACCTCAAAGGTGTTATAGAGAATGCTTGATTTCAATCTTTAGTCCTCCATAAAATCACCAACAACGTATATTGCAATCCCAATTACAATTTTGAAGCTTCAAATATCTTCAATAACCTAAAAGATTAACCAATCCTCTTAGTTTCAAATCCCACACTCCAATTTCAATTCAAACCTAAAGTTCAATATCAATTTTCATAATTCCAAATATTTTTCTTCAATCCTCAAGGATTTTCATGTGATGAACAATTATATGATATAAATAATGAACAATTCATGATGAGAAATATATATATATATGATGTATATATAACTATTTGATAGTTGTGAGTTGTGAGGGAGAAGGGGGGGTAAAAATCGCAACAAGAGAGAGAAAGCAAGGAATGTCAAGCAATGAGCCAACAAGCAGCCTTAAAAGCCCCCATGTGTAGTCCTGAACTGGTTCAGCCAAAGTAGAACCGGTTCAAGACTGACAATCTATTTTGGTTGAACCAATGGAATTCTTGAAACGGCCTACCACTTTTGGAATCGGTTCAAGACTTGCAGTCTTGAATTCCTTAGTGACATTTTGAGGAAAAATTTTCTCTTCTTTTTCAAAAATTTTCAAAAACTCTCAGTGATTAAAATAAACACAAAAAAAATCTAAAAACTAAAAATCAAAAATCTTTTTAAGTTTTTCAAAATTTTCAAATTTTTTTATTTTATTTTAAAAGCAACAAATCACTGATCATTTAATTCTTCCAATAAACACATGATTCAAAACTTTTCAGATAATTTTTCTGATTATCTAAGAGTACAAATTTTTGACTCCATAGATTTTTCAAATAATTTCAAATCTAATAATGCAATCACAACATAAAATCTAACTTGCAAAGTTTGCAAAAAAATTTAGAAATTAATCTAGTAAGTTCATGTGTGTGTGTGTGAAATCCAATCTCATCAATTTCAATCGAATTTCAACAAATCATTGTCTAAACCATATGGATCGAAAAACATCAAAATAAAATTATTTTCGAGCAATTTTTCTAATTAAGGTAGCTTTTACTCTAAAGAGTAGACAGCAATTCCCCAATTCAACTTATCTCCACCTTTCTTTTTACTCAATTAGCTCCTCTTCAAAGTCTAACGGGAGCTTTCGACCTAAACTCAATAGGTAGCCTTTTCCTTAACAAAGAATTCAATAATTTTCAAAAATTTTCTTTTTCTTTTTATGCTGAATATTTTTATCAATTTTTTTTCAAGCTCCCATTTTTTCTTCAGACAAAAACCTTTATAACTTTTGTAATCAATAAACCGTAGTCAACAATTCAAAGATTTTCAATCAAATTTTTTCAGAGAAGGACTAGTGCACAAAAACTATGAACTTAAGAGACTCAAATCTAAAAATCTCCCAATCAATGCAAATTTTCTTTCATTGTATAGATTACAAGTCAATAATCTATTTTTATCAAATTATCATATGTCTCGATTTGCATTCAAAGATAGATCATAAATTCATAGAAAGAATTTTCACATGTGTATCATGAAAAATATGATAAAAAAAAAACTCAACACCTTAACCAAACCCCAACAAATGATCCAATGGCAACAGAATTTTCATTTAAGCACAAACCATGATCACTAAATATCTATGACCCAGTTTGAAGGTAAAATCCTTTTGGAAACTAGTTCCACAGACTCAACAGGAACATAATTGATCAAATCAGTTTTTTTGATCCACACAATTTTCACTCTTACTTCTTGAAATTTTCTATCATATTTTACCTCTTTTTCAAGCAAAATTTTAGCTTTATAAATCTTAGGTGACAAAAAATTATTTTTCTTCTTAGAGTGCACCTTTTTGTAGCATGAGTATCATGAGAATGAATTTTAGAAAAATCTTTCTTTTTCCTATGAAAACATGAGTGATATTCATGTCCATTCTTACCACAAAAAGTGCAATGCAACAGTTTATGTACATATGACATATCAGAATGCAATGTATCAGGCAAACATTGACCAGCCATACGATAATCAACAGGTTTAACAAAAATTGTTTTACCTTGACTACTAGATAAGCCTTTAACAAATCCTAACCCAGTTTTATCATTCACATCCTTACGCATGTTGATTAATTTATTCAAACTGTCTTCACCCATTGTAAAACCTTTCAATCTATCTTGTGTAGATTTCAATTCAAGTTCAAAAAAATCAATTTTCAAACCAAGTTATTCTTTCAAGGAGTAAGCACTACTTACCTTATTTTCAAGAATGATGATCTTCCTGTTAAGCTCAATGATGATTGAATCGCTTTCAAAAGCTTTTATTTTTCCTTCATCAATCTATTTTCTTAGATCTTCATTCTCCCCTTTAGCTTGGATAAGCTCCTTTGCTAACTTATTGATAGCCTGTTTGACTTTAATGGTTTCTTCGACCATCTTCTTTAATCTTTTGTCATCCTTTCTACTTCTTGAACCTGTTCATCGAGAACTTCACTGTTTTCATTATCTGAAATATCAGAGTCAGATAAAGTAACAACATGAGGACC